CAACTCTTGGGCTACTCTTTTACCAACGAATAGTGGGATTGACCGTCACATTATAACGCCCCCACGGCTGAAAGGGCGAGCATGTTTGGTGGCCGTTACGCTGGTGATATTCGGTTGGTACTTGAGAATGATCGCACTACTGATCGAAACGTCGCACCTGTTCTAAAAATATTCTTCCACACTGTAAAAGCTGTAACTTGTAATAAAATGATACTTAATTAGTAAGTAAACTCAAAACGAAAGTGTTATTTCAGTTTGTTCCACTACTTTCTAATGGACGTGTTTGTGCACGCCTCGTGGTTCTTTAAATTATTCCTAGTAGGAGACGAGTATCCTTGTGAAATCGTGAAATTAGAGAACTCCTGAAAGTTTTTATGCCACTACTTTGTAGTCGACGGACCACCGAGTTAATTAAGACGTATTTAAGAAAATGAATCACGCTAACTAGCTTTGATGATATTCCCAAGAAAACTCAAACATTTGAAGGGTAATATGAGAGCTCATCTCGTATATAGACCAATCGTGGTTGTTCATATAGGTCATGTGCAGGTCAAGCTTGTCACCAATATAATCCTCGCCTTGAAGAGCACGTCTGAGAAGAGAGAAACGGAGGGATGAGGGATAACTAAGTAGTTTAAATTGACGTCCCGTTTCCTTTTCCTGAAGGCTATTATACTGTAGCTCAAACAATTTTCAAATCAGCGAGTTTGCCACTAACACTGATGGAAATATTTCTTGTTATGAACAACAAATCTTATATAAGACATTAAAAATCATTTCAGGAAATAATTTCCTATCATACATGTTGGGTAGTTATTTTATTTACATACTGAGTGTTAACTAAATACGCTGTTAGGAAAAATCGTTAAATAAATTACTTTAGAAAAACTAAAGCTCAGTGAATTAAGCTCAGTTTTTTCTTTTCTCGGAAATATAATGGGAAAACTTAGCATATTATCTTATATAATAGTACAGATTTTTGAAAACGTGCCAGAATGCGTGATAGATTTTTATGTTTTTAACGATACGTTTATATTAATATCCCTTTTCATGACTGGGTGGGATTCAATGGCTCTTAATACTTAATCCCCCAAAGGTCGCAAACACGTATAGCTTTACTCCATATTTTATGTTAATATACAAATCACCAAGTCACGTGACACTCGCAGCCGCTATACAGTCGCAATAGAGCAAAATGTATCAAATGCGTATTTCGCCATTATTTGACAATTTGTATGTAGTGTGATACCATCGAAAAATTATCACTTTTAAGAAATGCATGTAACAGCCCTATGCAAAATATCCAAACACTCAGATGATAAAATGTGTTTAGATCGGGGTTTTAGAATTTCCAAGAATATCCCGTGTACTTATTTTTTAATGTCTGGTTAACACAGGAATATCCCTTGTACTTGATATTTAATGTCTGGTTAACACGGGAATATCCCGTGTACTTATTTTTTAATGTCTGGTTAACACGGGAATATCCCTTGTACTTAATTTTTAATGTCTGGTTAACCCGGGAATATCCCTTGTACTTAATTTTTAATGTCTGATTAACACGGGAATATCCCTTGACCTTGATATTTAATGTCTGATTAAGCCGGGAATATTCCTTGTACTTACTTTATTAATGTCAGGTTAACACTGGAATATCTCTTGTACTTAATTTTTAATGTCTGGTTAACACGAGAATATCCCTTGTACTTAATTTTTAATGTCTGGTTAACCCGGGAATATCTCTTGTACTTAATTTTCAATGTCTCGTTAACCCGGGAATATCTCTTGTACTTAATTTTTAATGTCTGGTTAACACGGGAATATCCCTTGTACTTGATTCTTAATGTCTGGTTAACACGGGAATATCCCTTGTACTTGATTTTTAATGTCTGATTAACACGGGAATATCCCTTGTGCATGATTTTTAATGTCTGGTTAACACGAGAATATCTCTCGTACTTAATTTTGTTCTCTCATTTTTTACTGCTCATGAAGAAATATATAGTTTTCTACTGCGGTGAGTTGAAAATTCGAATCTCATGAAAAAAATTGTCAAAACAAAACCTTAATTAATGAAAGTGTTTTTTCTGTAATTGGTTGCCGTTTCGCAAATCCACAAATGGCCCGGATAGACTGGTGGTTAGTGTATCTCAGAGTGATGGTCCTATAGTTTCTCAGTTGAAAATTAGTGACGATCATGTCCAGATTAAATTCAAAACGATCACGTATTTCTTACATATATTCCAGTTTTGGATAAACCTCCTCTCTCACAGAAACAACAACAAAATTTGTGGTTCCAACTTTGTATGATGTTGCAGGCATTGTCCCATATATTTTATCCATTGTTGTAAGTTATGTATGACAATTCCAATTAATAACATTTCGTGTCGAAGTAGCGATATTAAATGTCAGAAGTTACAAATACTGCATTTATTTTTGTATAAATCTAGATATACTTGGTTTGTGCACGAAATTCATTTTAACTGTACTTTATATTTGGAGTCGCAAAGAAACGTGTAATATGTTAGTTTAACACGACATATTGCTGAAGAACAAACTTTTATCTTTATAAACTTGTTTTGATTAACGGTTGGCCAATAATTTTCCATCATTATTTAATTAATTTATAAACAGAAATACGTGTAATATACTTTTGTCTACCTCAAACTTTCACTGTGTAAGTCTGGTTATTTTAAAACTATATGTAAAAGTAACAACAATAATAATATACTTGTGCTCCTTTATAAAAGCAGTTTTTTTCAACATATATATTTATTTATTTAAAAGACTTTCTCGTCCATATTTATACGTTTGGTATCAACTGTTTTGAGGACATGCCTATTTAAGTACAGAGAACATCACGTCACAGTTTAATGATAACAAAACAGTTGGTAACATAATCAACGAATTTTCATGTACAAGCTTTTAAATCGATGTCTATCTTGCTTTTATTTGTTATAGCTTACTCAATGAATTAATTATTATTATTTTTTTAAAGGTAGAGAAGGTATCCGAATGGAGATTTGCGACGATTCCATTGCGTATCCTCGTCACCAACAAACAGAATTCAATTCTCGAAAGCGTCGAGGGAATCTGCCTAAAGAATCGGTGAAGATTCTAAAAATGTGGCTTTATGAACATAGATACAACGCCTATCCTTCAGATCAGGAGAAAATTTGTCTTTCCAAGGAAGCAAACCTAAGTGTTCTGCAAGTTTGTAACTGGTTTATCAACGCTCGACGTCGGATTCTGCCGGATATCATTCGCAAGGAAGGTCACGATCCTCTTCAGTATACAATAACAAGAAAGACGTCACACAAACCACAAGGACTGCCCCAGCCACATGACCTGGCCAGTCTGCAGACAGATCAAGATGAGCTAGCGAAAACTGATCCAGCATATTTTTCTTCCGTTGATGACAGCGCCACAGACGGTGACGTGGAGAGTGAGGATAGTTCCAGTGAAGGATTTACAAATGTGCGTTCCACATCACCCTCTTCGCAGAATGGCACAGATTGCCCATTGAAGCTAAGGAAGAGGTGGCAGCGTAACCATGAACAAGAAATTTTGATCAGAGAATGGGATGCGCCACCCGATCCTCAGGTAACCCCCACTGATGCCCAGACTGTTAAAAATCCATACAACCAGTTAAAATCTATTCCTGTTGTGACGATAGCTGAGTCATCGGGAGTCCTTACTTCGTCCACACTGACATGTTTCACCAATTGTAGTAAGTTTGAATCCTTCCCTGTATCAACCGAAGTCAGGTTTCATGCAGCTGATCCAATCGAACTTCGACTCAATCCACCTAACCATTGGGTAACAACTGCGTACGTGACTTCCCCACGGTCACCTCCCGGGATTTCCACAGAAGATCCTTTTAGTTGCCTTAATCTACTGGTAAATGCCGCTGTTGAGGAACTAGAGAAGCGCGAAATGAAACATAATGTATGACTATTAGTAAGATAAAAATCATCTCATTATTTCATTTAATAATGTGCCTTTCTCATATGAACGTGCGGATATCGAATTTGTTCTAGCACCAACCGCGGAAAGATTTTTAAAATCACATTTAAGTGTTTGAACGAAAACTGTTTATTACACCCAAAAATATTAATAAAGTGGGGATGTCTTCCCTCTCCCCACGTCTTTTTTTTTTTGCCAATGGCCAAAACAGATATTGGTAGGGAGTTATAGTAAATCAACAGCAGACTTTTAAATCTGGTTTAAAAAAGTCTCATTGAAAGGATTTATATGTGAGTTTTTTTAATGGAATAGATGAAATTATTGTGATTAATATTCAATGCTGGTTTTAAATGATTTATAGAGGCCAGATTGTTAGGACGCTCGACTCAAAATCTGCGTGTCGCGGGTTGGAATTCCATTCTCGAACTTGATCGCCCTTTAAGCCATGGGACGTTGTAATGTGATGGTCGATCCCACTATTGGATCAGGGTAGCCCAAGAGTTGGCGGTAGGTGGTATTGACTAGCTGCCTTCCCTCTAGTCTATCACTCATGAATTAGAACGACTAGCACAGATTGTCCTCGAGTAGCTTTTCACGAAATTCAACAAACAAGAATTTACATAATATTAATTTGAAATTTTACAAAATAATCGTATGTTTGTCGTTAATGGAAAAGTGAAATCCAGTTTTAATATTAATGATAACTTTCTTTACCAATGGCGTGTCGTCTATATATGTACCCGGAATTCATAAAATGTTTTTATTCCACAAGTTTTCAAAATATGAAATATACATAGGGCTGATTGTAAGCACACTGGTCACGTGAGCTGTCTTCTCGTTTGTGAACGCATGTGATGCCAAAAGTTTCATTACATCGCAAGGCAACATGATGCTGCGTGTAGCTCACTTCCAGATCATCCGATCATTGAAATAAGTACAACACAAGTGAACTATTTTTTAAAACGTGTCCTGACAAAAAGTAGTTTCTCCGGACGCTGCTGTGAAATAAAACAAGTTTTTCTTTTCTTTTTTTCTTTTTTGGGGGAGAAGTGTTTTTTTATGCTTCTTTTGTGTTATAATTCAGGTTTGCACGTCCTGCTGATTACTATTTTACGAGTATAGTTATTGGAAAATGTAACACAGGCATTTAACTATAGAACTGAATCACTCATGACGGGACACTTGCTATAAGATAACACCTCAACTTGTACCTGATTGGCTGATAACACGTCTCATCACCATCCCAACCAAACCAAATCTCGCTTGCACACTCTACTAAAACATTATAGGTATTATATAACTAATAGTAGGGTGTTCGTTTCTTGTCTATTAAACCTTTTTCAGGCAAAATAATTTGATTTATAAAATATAACACTTAAATAGAATAAAGGGGCAATTTTTGAGAAATTATATAAATATATATATATATATATATGTATAAAGGTGTTCATTTAGAAACTTAGGAAGTCACAGACTAAAACAGTGTTATCGATTTAACTATCTGCGAGCCTTGAAAGCTCAAATAAGGCACCTTGTGCATATACAGGTATAAAAGAGCACTTTAGAAGAAACTTTTTATCTGTTTTCTAAAGTGCTATTTGCATGCCCTGCTAATAGGTTACGACGCGCCACTGTACTCTAACAAGTATGTAGCAATAAGTAAATAAAATACTCTGAGGACAGCTGGAATTGTATTGAAAAACACTTCGTATGATACATTCTCTATAGATATAAAATAATAAAATATTATAAACACTTTTGTAAATATATATTCCATTTCTAAAGAAACTGGTTTGTTTGCATGTGTATAAAAATGATTATCTGAACGTTTGCTCTCACAAGATTTCAAGTTTAATCTTAGATTTAAAAATAAGACTAGGATATGAAATTATGACTCAGATTGGGCAACATTGCTAAGGGAATGTAATCGGTAATTTTTAGACACGTGAAACGCTTCAGGTAACGTTTCTGATTCACGTTCATTTCCGTTGAGTTCTTTGGTAGAGAATACAAGATTGGTATTTTCAACTCTCCTTTATCAAAACTTCGGCCGTTCTTAACTTGTTTATCCAACCTACTTTTTTTCTAGCGTAACGGAATTTATCCCTCTTCAGGTTCGGTGCCAGATGGGTCACACCCTTCACGGAATTTTCCTAGTTTCTATTTTTCATTTGTGATCTTACTGCTACGTTAATATCGAACCCTGAAATATGTTGATTTATGATAATAAAAATAACTCGGGGTGTTGTGTTCCAATAGAAATATTCATAGTTTCTAATCTGAAAACTAAATATGGAGAGACACAAAATTAATATGTTGCCTGATTATTCACATTAACATTTTTTTTTAAATCCATGTTCGTCATAATAGCTCAATTCCAAATACAAATATATTTATAATAACTATAATTGTGGTCCCATAGCTAATTCATTGCCCCTCCGCCTGAGGGAAGCTGGAGCCTGGCCTGTGCCTCCTGCTCCCATTTCATACCAGAAATGTGTAATTGTTTTCTCTATAACTGAAAGAAAAAGACTTCACATATGCTAGACTGAAAGCAAAAGTGTTTCTTACAATCCGTTAAAATATTTTGAGTCGATATATTTGTCATAAAACAATTTGTTCGGTCGCGCATATTGAATTAATACAGTTCGAATTTGATTCCGGAAACCTAAAGTTCAAATACATGTAGATGCCATTAGAGCTATTCGTATCATAATTAATATTGAGAACCTTAAAGGCATGCAAGCAAGATTTTAAAACGTCATCCCTACTAGATAATCAATTTTGTAACCGCAAATATTTAAGCTTAGGGCGTAGTTTCCCCGAAAGGGGGCCGAAGGCCGCCTGTAGGAGTCACCTGTATTAACTACTTACGCCATTATACAGTAATGTGTTATCTGCAAGTCAGTCAGTAGACTCTAAAATGACTTTACATAAGGGACGCTTAACGTTGCAATTTGTACTATAGTGACGTCAATAAAACGTGTGCATGCCATGAATCACGAGGAGAATTATGCATCCTGTAGACTATAATACAGAATGACATATGAATTTCAAAAGCAAGAAATAAAAATATTTGTTGCTCTTAATTTTGGTTTTATTTACTCTTGAAACAGAATACTTTCGGGGACCCTGCGGAAGAGCATCAAGTGTATAGTGTTT